GCTGAAAGACTTCCCTGCCAGCTTTGGTAATACTGAGAATTGGAGTATGTTCTGAGACTTAGCCAGGTAAGACTGTGAGGCCCAAGGAGCTCTGTCAGGATAAGATATCCCTGCTGTCATTGGATTGTTTGATTTGTGAATTAGCTCAGCTGCAGTCACCTTCTGTGTGGGTCAGTTTGGGTCTGGCAGCAGTCTAGCAGGGCAGCTTGGGCACTGACTGACTCTACTGGATGCTTCACTCATGGATTGCTGCTCTGTAGTAAACACTATTTGTTCGTTCTTTTAAAAAAGTTTTTCTTTCCTTCTCTACTGTAATCTGCTATAGCCTTCTAAGAGTTGACTGTACACAGAAACTAACAGTCTACCTGTCAGCTCTGAGGACTGTTGTCATCTTCTGAAATCCTTCATTGACATGCACAGTGAGTGGATTTCCATTTGGAGTTGGTATTCCTGTTCCAGCTTGAGACCCTGTCCACCTAATCTGTGCATGTTTTGTGTACAAATAAGAGGTTAAACTGTATGTTACTGTTAAGAGTGTACTGAGAATCTGAGGCACTTAAGTGCCTTATAATAATTTCAGAAGCATTAGTTAAAAGAATTCTCTGAGGATTGTGATGTATCTGAGGTTGAAGTATAACTTAAACGTTGATAATGAAAAGAAGTCATTAGAAAAATTAAATAGAGTGCTTTATCTGAGATCCCTATTTCATGACATGAAACAAGCTCTTACTAATAGCAGCTTTTTTTTTTTTTTTTTAACAGTCAGTATCGTACAATGTAGGAGACAGAACTGTGATTTTAACTGGGCATCGGTGTGGTCAGCATTGCATATTTTATTTGAAATTGTTTTATTTGGGGAAGTGTTTTCCCAAAGACTTCATGTAGGCAGCACTGGTAGTTGTTACTAGTGTTTTGAACCTTGTGACTATTAATCCTACTCTAACAAAGATTAGAAAACGGGTTACTTAAAATTATAGCAGCCGCTAGCATTAGGTATCCTTCAGGTCTTTTTATTGCTAGCTCAAGTAGAGCTGAGCCTACTGTGCAGGATACTGGCCATGTGTTCACAAAACAGTAACTGCTGCTGTTGGTGCACAGTTGGGTTTGTTAGGATTTACTGCTTGCCTCTCTTCAGTATTCGTGTTCAGTGAGCAGTGCAAGTGCCTACACTTCAATAACTATGTTTCAAGATTCCATGTAAGGTTTTTTCTTAGTTTTCATGTTATATTGTACAGGAGAAATACAAGGAAAGCACTAGAGATTTAAGAGGATGAGAGATTTGAGTCAATCACTTGAGCTTCAACTTAGTAATGCAAATCTGGCTTTAAGTGACCTTATTGATGTTTGCTCAAAGTAGCTTCCTTTTGTTACAAATGACTGAGCTTTGTTGTAGCTATTGTACAGGTAATGTTCTGTCCCTTTAGAAATTGCCTTTGGTATCCCAGATGCAACCTCTCTTTACTTTAACTGAGAATGCCTGCAGAAATGCCTGGAGCTAAGATAGATTGCGTCGGTGTGCCTCATTTCATCATTTGTCAGCAGCAAAGAAAAAGAATAGGGCAGGCAAAACCACACACCCATTACTCTGTCCCAGGTCTTGGAAATTTGAGGGTCTGGCTATTGGTTAGTAATGTTCAAGTGGAAATGATACCAGAGAATGACTGACATGACAACATATCTGAAAGGGTCCTGACCACTTCTGTGACTAAATCTTGAAGAGAATTGGCAAGCGACTGTTGTGTAAGGGGGTAGCAGGATTTTGAGCAGTGCTAGTACAGTGGTGCAAATCGTGCTAAGCACCCATGTCTTGAGGAGATAGTATTGGATAATAAACAGTGCCATCTTCTGGGAGGAGTCGGAATGATGTCCTTGTGATCAGCCTTAAAGATGTTTTTTAAGTGGTTTTGGTTTTTTGGGTTGAGTATTTTGCTCTCTGTCTAATAAATGCTTTGAATAAAAAAATACTAGAAGCTGAAATGCAGTGTTAATGTCCAGTGATGAAAGCCCAAGTCTTATATTTGGGAATTATCGCTGATACAATCTTTAAAGGAAAAGTTTTATACTGTATTTAGAAGTCTGTTTTAAAAAAAAAAAACAGGTTTATCGACTGCTGAGAAATAAATCTCAAAAATAAAGGACTTGATCTGTTTGTATGCTGCAGATCATTATTATTTTTGTAAACATACTTCATGAAACTTAGCTAAATGCAGCATCGTTTCTCACAGGAAGCATTGTGTTAATCTGTAGGAAAGTATTAAAGATCCGAATTGTTACTTTGTCTTTTATTGCTTTTAAGTTGTTATAACTCCTTTTGGGGATGTTCGAAGGGAAAAAAAAAATGTTTTCTGTCTTAAAATTAGCATTCTATAAATAGTTACATTTGGAAAAAAAAAAAACAGGTTTATCGACTGCTGAGAAATAAATCTCAAAAATAAAGGACTTGATCTGTTTGTATGCTGCAGATCATTATTATTTTTGTAAACATACTTCATGAAACTTAGCTAAATGCAGCATCGTTTCTCACAGGAAGCATTGTGTTAATCTGTAGGAAAGTATTAAAGATCCGAATTGTTACTTTGTCTTTTATTGCTTTTAAGTTGTTATAACTCCTTTTGGGGATGTTCGAAGGGAAAAATTCTATAAATAGTTACATTTGGGAAATATTCACTATGGTGCAAAATCTGGGATTAGAGTTACTAAATTTATCCTAGCAAATGGAAAGTAAGATTCAGCATTTACTGAGACTCATTAAGGGTGTCAGATCAATCACCTGAACTCGTATTTGGAGGAAGTGAACAATTTTAGTAACATTAATGGATCTATATAGGAGATACAGCTGACATTGTAAGAAGGTTTTTTTGCTATACACTTTCAATTAAATAAGGGAAACAAGCAAAAAGCCAGGAAAAAATATAACCATTATGGGGGAGGGGTAAAGAGGAATCAATGTGTTAAACATTCCTATTGGTAAAATAAATCATATAAGGTATATCCAGAATTACAAGAACTTAGGAGCTCTGGATAGGCAGATTGATTTGGAATTTTTTTTATTGCATCATGGTCTAGATAATTTGCCACCAAAGGTGCAGTGGAATAATAGTTTCTAAATAAACTTTTTGTTTGTTTGTTTTTGCATGTAAATTGTAAGTCTATTCTGAATATGTCGTATATTAAACATGTTACCATTAGTAGGGTCACATTTTAATTACTGTGGAGTCTGAGGTTTCCAGATAGTACAGTACTTAATTATGCAATTAATTTGTAATTAACATGGCAATTGAATCTGAATTTACTTTTTCAGTATTAGTGTTAGCTTGATCAGTCATGCAGTATTTAATATATAAAGAAAATGGCTAACTTTCAGCATATTCTGGATGTTGAGCAACAGAAATTCTTACTGTGAGTAATCTTTGTGCAAGTCGTCAGTATTACAGTTAAGAATTTCATTTCCAACATATGAAAATAGTTTAGTGTTGATCCGTCTTACCATGTTGACTTTAAGTTGCTGATGAAAGTCAGATGTTAAAGTTTCCATTTCAAGGGGTGGTGGTCCTTAAGCATACCTCACACTAAGTGCTATATTTGCTTGGATACAACTTTAAAACTTCTTTTGTCTTGTAATTTATTAAATCACTTTACCGTAGACAGAAAAATATTTCCCTTTGGAACACCAAATACAGTTAATCCTATTAACTCTTAACTCTAGTTTGAGACAGTGTTTCACCATTGCAGTGTTGTAATGGGCACACAGTTACTTAGTACAATTTATTTACTTAGTTATCAGGGGTGATTGCTGTTCTTTGCGGCTTTTAATTCTGTCTTTTAGTAATAACTCGTTCTCTTGGAAGTTGTAATCAAACCATCAGTAAGAGTTGCAGTTTAAGACAGGTGAAAAACTCTGTCTGAAATTAGACTAAGATTGTCAGAGTGGACAGCACAGTACGTTATTATCCAGGTCCCCATTAACTTTGAAAATGCTGTTCCAAATATCTGAAAAATATTTTGTGTATAGACAAGATCAATAAAAATGTAAGAAATCCTGCTTAGCAAAGAAAGAATGCAATGCTGCTTAGGCTGAAGCTGCCCTCTTTTCATCTGTCTGAGAATTTCAGCAGTAGCATTCAATACAAAAAGCAAGGTGGTAATTTAACACTAAAGTAGACCCTGACCATCTCTCATTTCCTATATCACAATCTTGTTTTCTGGTTCATAGGATATAGACTAAACAAATGGTAGTATTATTGGGAAGACAGGTCAGAAAATGTCTGATCTTAGAAGTGATATTGTACTAATTAGAAGTATTTTTGTTAGTAACTGAAAAAGTGAGCCTCTTTACTGAATACATCATAATTATGCAAGCTGCAGGAGTAGATAACTTCAGGGAAGTAATTTGTATTGAAGCAAAACCAAGAATTATGTATACTATGTAAATAGTAGTTATATTCTAATCAGAATACATCTATATGTGCCAGAACTATTAATTCTGCCTTACAGCAGTTGTTGATGTCCTGTTTGGAAAGCTTCTCAGAGTTTGTTGTTTATTTGTCATTTACTCTGACCCTCAAGTAGTCAGTATCAATTACAGTGGAGCAAGTTACAACAAAATGAGGTTGCTTTAAATTTATGGTGTCTGTTCTTCCTCTAGCTCAATAATAAATTTTTTGAAGAAGTCCCCTAGGGATTACGTGAAAACATTTACTAAAACTTGAGAAAAAAATGCCTTAAGCAATTTCTGTCAAACATTACTTAACCCTATTTTCATAATTTATGGATGAATCTTTTCCAAAATTCTTTTAAGTTCTTTATCAACACCACTTAATGATAGACAACAGGCAACTTGCACTTAATTTTAAGGAAAAGTAGACAAAGCTTACTAGTTTTGTGACTAATGTTAAGCAGGTATTTGCTTCGTTAAAACTTGAAGACATTTTATTCTATGTCCCTTAGATCTTTTGCACTAGTGAATTAATAAGCCTAACTTCCCATCTTTTCATACACAGGCAGAAGGAGAAGACAGCCTTAAAAAGATGCAGCTGATGGAGCTTGCAATTCTGAATGGCACCTACAGAGATGCCAACATCAAATCACGTAAGCATGTCATAACCTTGAGGGTCAATGCCATAGTACTCTTGCAGGTTTTGATTCCTAAAGCTACTTTTTAGGAAATGCATGGTAGCAACTGGCTTGGAGAATGGAAGGCAGTTAAAAAAAAACAAACAAACAAACAAAAAAGGGAGCTTTTGCAAAAGATCTTCTGAAGCTGAGTAGTATCAGTTTTGGGGCTTTCCTGTTCCTCTCCCCCTGCTTTTTTAAATAGTATGTCTGGGTCTAAATATTTACAAATATACAGTATAAAACGTAAAGTAAACCCTTAAGCCATATTTTTCTATTTTACAGTCACTTTTTCCTTAATACATATAAAGGACAGTAAACTCTTTTTCAGTTATATTTTCAGAGATTTAATTTGAATATGTTACAGATGTTCAGGATACTGTGAATACATTTTTCTGTATAATATTCCTTCCTTTCATCTTGCTTGCATGTGTCCCCCCAGTGTTGTATTTTTCCAACAATTCATCAACTGATTTCACAGCTGAGTTCACAGGGATCAGTGATGTAATGAGCCATTTTTATGGTTTCTTCCGTTACATTGTGTGAGAATGCTTTTGCAAATGCATGTGTGCACAGGTTTACACATGAAAATTAATTATATACACCTACTAATGAGACCATATACCTATTATGTGTGATACAAATTATTTTCTCTAGTTGAAAATCTGATTTCTCCTCCTGAAAATGTAGCTGTTGATACTGTTCCAAAGTAAATTTTTGCTGTATCTGTGATACAGATGTCAAATGTAAGCACAGTTAAACCAGTCTTTTCACTAAGGGCCTACTGATATTTGCAAATTTGTTTCTTCACACAGTCACCATTTCAGTGTTGAATATGTTTAAAGGTTGGAATGCAGTTAGGTCAATTTGAGAGTGCTTACACCAGTGTAATTATTCTGAGTTGAAAAGACGCATAAGCAAGGGCTTTTGCCACTACAATGGTAGTAGTAAATCTTTCAGCCCTAATGAACACTGTAATATTTAAAGCTCGATCAGTTTTAAACATATGCTAGTCTCTAAATTATTGCAAATTTATGAGTAAAATAGCTTTCAGATTGGCTTACATTGTTGCAAACTGTTGCAAAGAAACCTTTTTATTAATTAGATCAATTTTTTTGTCGGCTCTGTACTGCATCAGTATAAGAGAGAAGATGGATTTTTTTTTTCATTTTTTGACTAGAGATTTCCGCGCTAATACTCACATTTTGCTAACAAAGCAGTTTCAATGTTTATTATTTGATTTTACTGAAAACTTAAAGATCTAGAAGCCATACTGGTTTATTTCCATTTAAGAAAAGAAATTAAGATGTTTGAGCGTATTTTTTTAATTATACATTCAGTTTGAGCACTTTTGTTTAAAAAATAAAAATAATTTTAAAAACCACAACAGTCTCAAATCTGAAAAATTTCTGCCACATTTCTCTTTTCAGACCACCTGTAGGTTAATTAAATCAATGTAGATCAACAGTAGTGCATAGAACTCTATAAATTATAACTTTAAAATTGACTGTTACCAGCTGATGTGTTAGTGTTTAAGAAGTTCTTCATCTTGTGTGCCAAGAGGCTTCAAATAACATTTAATAAAATGTGCTAGCACCCTTTAAATTAAAAAAAAACCAAAACAAACCTTTTGTTTTCTTTAAACGAAGCAAGGCCTGAAGTGAAGTTCTGTTACAAAGAAAGTTTCTTATTTTGGGCAATTTGATATGTAAATCACTTTTCAATCTGTTTTCTCCATGCTAAAGTAAGAGGAGATGCATTGTGTTTTGAGGTCACCTTTAACTTCATTGATCTTGGAAATTGGAATTGTGTATATGTATAAATACAGTTTAAGACGCATAAAAACTGTGGACTCAGATGGCAGCTCTGCATAACTGAGTATCTGTGGACTCTATAGTTGCACTAAATTTAGTACTTTGTATATGATTATGACAGTATTCTCCTTGTGTCTCCTGCATGCATCCTAGTCTCATGCAGTCTTGATAGCAGAAATTAAGAAATGTGGTCTAAATGGAGCTTTTGTGCTGTGTAACCTGTTTGAGAAATCTACCTCACTGTTTTACAATGGCTTTTTTATTTTGCATGTTCATACTTAATCACACTGGAAAATGGAAAGCTGTTTGCATTTGAATGGTGTGCTTTGGCACTGTGTGATCAGCGCATGTACTAATGATTTCCTTTTATTTTTCTTCTTTCCTACTTTTCCCCTTTTTCCCATTCTTTCCATGTTTTGTACTGCTATCTCCATACTTTCCTCTGAATTTCTTTGCTTACTGTAGCAGCCCTTGCCTTTTCTCTTGCAGCAACAGCCCAGGCTCCAAGGATTATTACTGGGCCTGCGCCTGTTCTCCCACCAGCTGCCCTGCGTACTCCTACGCCAGCTGGCCCTACCATAATGCCTTTGATCAGACAAATACAAACCGCTGTCATGCCAAACGGAACTCCTCATCCCACCGCTGCAATAGTTCCACCTGGACCCGAAGCTGGTTTAATTTACACACCATATGAATACCCCTACACGCTGGCACCAGCTACATCAATCCTTGAGTATCCTATTGAACCTAGTGGTGTATTAGGTAAGATCTTTGTACGCGGATGACTGGAGAATACATTGCTTATGCTTTTATGATACTTCCAAAGTAGAGATCATGGGGCTCAAAGGAAAAAGATTTGAAGCAACAGTCCCATCTCAGTAATATCCAAACTGCACAAGAAAACTGCTTAAATTGTTTAGTATATTAATAAGATTATTGAAAAGAAAATGTTTGTATGACACAAGATGGCAGATACGTAGTCAAGGGAAAAAGAAACTAAATAGAACTTGATACCTGTTATGTGCCTTTTGGGCTCCCATAAATACCAGATTTGTTTGTTCTCTCTTTAACATAAATTATTTCCAGTAATCTTTGGAAGACAGAACGTCTGTTTTGCCATACCTTTTTAGTAGCAAAACTGGAGAGAATAGAAAGGTCTTTTTCCAGTTTGTTGGAGTTTTTACCTCTTCCTTTAGTACACAACTGATAAATCTCTCCTCAGTGTCAGAAAGCTGTAAATAATTTTGCAAGCAGAAGATAATGTCAGTGAATGAATATAAAACAAAATAAGCTTTAACCAAAGGATTATATGATTAGCAGCTTTACTGGTGGATTCTTTTATATATCTTTAATTGAAATATCCATCATTCTTAGTATGTCAGACTTGCTGTGTGAAGGCAAGAATAACAAAGCAGCCATGACAATTCTGTTAACTGGTCAATATGAAACTAGCAGTTCCAATAGTTTCTTCCCTACTCTACAGAATCTAAACAATCTTTTCAGTTTGTTCTGAATTGCATATGACCCTGGTGCTGCATAATGTTGATTTTATGGGACTTCGGTCTGATATGTTCAGTGGCAGTTATTGATTAGTGAATCAGTAATAACCATTTTATTAGGACAAAAGTATGCAGTAGATCTGTCTTTGAGCAGCTTATGGCTGTTGTCTGTTACCCCATAGCCAAAATTCACTGAGCATATGATCAGTTAATTATCATAATTCATTTGCCACAACATCTAAATACTGTCCCTGACTCTTCCACCCCCAATCTGCAAGTCCACTTGTGATACATCCCGGGCAGTTTCTATGAATTGCTGGTTAGTGTCAAGCCTCTCTCCTGAAAGAAATACATCATTCTGTAGTAATAATTTATTATGATGCAGAGAACTTTGATTTTTTGCAGAATTTTCTATAGAGAAGGGGAAAATTACTCCTAAGATAGAATCTGAAACCTTTGCATATTTGTCGCCTTAGCTGTAACAGCACAGGTTTATTGCCCAAAACAGGCTTCACCAAATAATCTTATATAAAAAAGGAAAACGGAAGAGGAAAAAAAAAAGACCTTACTCCCACTTAGGTAGCATAGGATCAATAACTGCTCTATTTTCTGAGCAATTGTATGGAGTTAATTGAATTAAATTAGATTTTAATTGAGGTTTATTTCATAATACACTTATTTGCATTGATATTCGGCTATACTTTGTCCGTTTTTGTGGTGGACATTTCAGATGTCTTAAAATAAACCTACTGGAAATAGCAGAGAAGTTAATCCCTATTAATATTTTTGGGGATATTGCTGTTGGGATCAAGTTTCAGTTGGTGACTAACTTTTAATTCCCTTCCTTTTATCTTCAGGTATGGCTTTCCCAACGAAAGGCTAAGAATTCAAGAACGGTCTTAACTGATCCTTCATCAGATCTGAATTTTAACAAATGCTTAGTTTCAGCAGCCTTGAAAAAAGCTTGGCCTAGCAGTCAGTGACTTACTTGCACTTTTTTGCACATAGATTTAAAATAAAATAGTGCTATTAATTTGGATTAGCTCCTATTATTACAGAGTAGCTGTAATTTATGAGTGTATAGTAGTATACTGACTGCTAAGTGTTCTACATAGTGTTTGCTTTACTAATCACCTAATTCATTGCAGTTCATACTTATTGACTTAAAGTTTAAAATCACAATCTGTAGGCTTAAAGAATTGCTTTAAAACTTTTTTATTTTTTGTGGTAGAACTGGAAGTGATCTTAAGGTTAGGAAATAATTGTCAGTATTAAAATATGGCATTATTTAAAATAGTCCTGCTGCAAGAAAGGCACTTCAGTGAATATGTGACTAGTAAAGCTTAATTGTGCGTGGGTCTAATAGATTTCATGAAATACTGTAATTTTGGGATTGTAAATGAATGGATTAAACAGGTTAAGGCCAGGATGTTTAAAATAAATGCAATATTAATCTGCACAGATAAACTTCTTTTTTAAGATTAAGATTTGAAACTACTGTGCCTTAACTTGTTGCTTTTCTTAAGATGAACTTTTGTAGTTAATGATCATTTAAATCCATTTTGATAAACCTGCTGTTAATGTTTTCTTTGAATGTTTTCTAACTTTGTCTTGGTAATTGCAATTTAACTAGGTGCGGTGGCTACTAAAGTTCGAAGGCACGATATGCGTGTCCATCCTTACCAAAGGATTGTGACCGCAGACCGAGGTTAGTTTAGTTCTGCAGTTCTTGTTTGTAAGAAGTGCTTTGAGTGTACATGAGATTTGCAACACCACAGCTGGTTAACCAAATGTACCCTCTTTTGACCCATTCATTATTTCTCTCAAAAATCCCAAGAGTTATTTTTGTAAAGCTTTGGGAATGCTTGCGATTTTAAAAACATTTTGTAAACTTGGCTTTCCCAGTTCAGTGAAATATAGAAACTTTCTGATACATTTAATATAAATCCTATAACGGTTCCCTTTTTAAAACTATTTAAGAGATCCATCTGTATCAGAAACACTATGAATTCACTGCTGCAATAATAAATTCGGTTCTGTTCTCCCCTTCCCCCTCCAATTTGTTCTTTTAATTGGTGTGGAAATATCAGATTGGTGTTGCAAAATAAAATGAATGGATGGATGCTTAATGAGAAAGAAGTAAAGGAATAAATGCCTCCTGTCTGTGTCTGGAGAAATCTGAAGATTTAGATTCCTTTTTTTCCAATAAACTTTTGAGCCACTGTACTGTATATTATGAGGAGGATGCATGTTCTCAGATACCTGACTGAATTCAGAAAGGTAAGGGCTGTGAAGATAATACTTCAAAAGTTGTTTGAGTTTGCATTACTAAGGGTGGGGGAAGGGACTGTTTGGGGTTTTTTTGCCAAAATCTATTTCTTGGTATTTGCCTTTTGCTGCTAAAATGTGTATGTAACCTGAAGGAAAAGCAACTTTTGAAGTCCTGTTGGTGAGATGACATCCAATATTTGGGCATCTCTCTTTAACCCTTGAATGGAAAGTAAATCTTCATTTTTCTCCTGTTCTTCAAGTGTAATGCCTTTGGACCCCTGAATGAAGTATTTAAGCTTATGGAGGAAAGTGATATTTTCGGTTTATTGACATTGGCTAGGAAGCAGTGTGTGGGCTGAACTCTTATCCCATCCCTGCTGCTGACTCACTGTGGGTTTCAGCAAGTCATCTAATCTCTCTGTATATGTATTCCCATCTGTAAAATAAGGATAATAATACTTCCCTACCTCACAGGGGTGTTGTGGGGGTTCTGTTTTGTACAGGGCTTTGAGGATGCAAAGCGTTACATGCCAAGTATTATTATTCTGCTCTCATCAAAATTGGTGTTGTGCAGGCTTCCATGATATTGTAATATTCCAAAGCCAAATTCAGGTGACAGATCTGACATAGCCTAACATTGACTGCACTTCACTTCTCACAACCTTCTATAAATTAACTACAAGAAACAACAGAGATTTTAGGCAATATAGTAAGAAGGGCCCTCCTGGATATTTGCTATATTTATGTAACCCTTTTATCTTTCATATGATCTGATGCTTTACAGAAAGTGTAAAACTCCTAACAAAGACACTACTTAAGCTTTCTAGAAGATAGTTTCTTTTATATCGTGGTGTGCTATTTAGAGCCCATTGCCTTGTTCTCATTCCTTGACAACTCTTTTCATGGGCAACAGGGTATAACCAGAATAAGGTCATAGGCCATGTTTACCAAAAACACAGGAAAAAAAGGAAATAGAAAAAAGATAAAAACCTATCTCTGTCAAGAGTAATGGGTGGTTAGGATTTGGTTGCCTTTGGAAGTTTGAGCTGATGTTGCTAATGGTCTTTCATGATTTGCACTGGTAGTATCATGTGGCAGGATTAATCAGATACTTGCCTGAGAAAACTAGTAAACATACTGATAAAGAATGGGAGGTGGAGGGATACCAATTTGTAGTTTAAATTCATCAATGTAGTACTTTAAATATTTTCTGAAGGGCCTAGATGTTTCATCTGGGTCTCTTAAAACTAATTGAAATTAATTATTGGTATAATTTCATCGCCTTTTAAAACAGAACAATTTCCTGATAATACAGTGCTCATTTCTAGCAACACTGAAATCCCGTTGTTTTAAGTAGATAAATAAATGCATGTGGCTTATCTCCTCTGGAATAAGTCAGGCACACCTATCCCTTTTAGAATGAAAACTGTCGTGATATTATAACAGAATGTATATTTTAAAGTCTTACCTGAATAATCCAAGTGTGTATTCCGAAATATACACAAATTAATTTAAAAACTGTACTTCATTGTACTTTGAATTTGAAATCATAGATTGGCACTGCACAGATTTAAGTTTCACAAAAGATTTTAAGAAGAACATTGTTCAGCAATAAAAATTACTTTCTGAATTATATTGTAGAGTTAAAATACTGTCAGTATTCACCATTGCCACCTATTTAGTTGTTCTCTCACCAATACACTTCTCTAGCTATACCCATGAAAAACAATGTCAGCAAACCGAAATACTTTTTTTCAACGTGGAACATTTTTTTTAATATAGGTAAATGTCACTAAATCTGTATTAGCATTCATTGGGTCTGAAGGGTTTTTTTTTTATCTAAATAGACTTTCAGATGACTTTGTAGTACTACTGCATTCACTTTCTAGGTTTAAGGTTTTTATTCTTTGCATAGGTTGTTGGTTTTTTTTCCTTAGAGATAAGCACTGCATTTGAATCAAGAATCCCCAAATGTGTAAATGTTTTACTCTTACAACTAAGCATTTAGAATTGGTGAAGGGTTGAAAAATATAGCTCGTTTTAACTCAGAATAAAATCCCGGTTTATAAATAATACAAAATTGAATTTGATGCATATAACAGAGAGACTGACTGATTTAATTGTAATAAACTGTAAATGGTGTTGCACAGTTAAAAAACCTGTGTGTACTGTAGAAGGCCAGAGACTTGGCAGAGGATGTATCACAGGTGTACTGGTATTTTTAAAAGGTAGCTTGCTTTGATTATAAACTCCACAAGAAACATTAATGCTGAGAATTTTCTTGAATGTTTTATCCAAACCAACTGTCACGTAATTTATATATAAATTTTAATACCATTTAATCAAAATTGTAATCAGTACCAAAATGCTTTAAGAGTCTATTTCTAGTATACCTTTAAAGTGGTGAGATTGTGCCACATAAAATATTTATTTTTGCTTATTTTTGGAACAGCCATTTTAATTTAAACAAATCCCACTTAGCATGACTCTGAAAGAAATCAGGGAGCATGTGGTCTCATTTATGTTACAGTAGTAATTTTTTGTAGTGTTATGAGCTGTATCCTAAATGATAGGCCATTTTTATTATGTGAAAGTAAAACAGCCCATGAGAAATATTGCTAAATCAATGCTATCTGTGAATATTACACCTACTGGACTTCATTTTATGTAATGGCACAAATCTGACTTTGCACTGAATACCTTTTTCACTTTCATCTCCTCTGCCTTAGTCAAAATGGCAACAGTACAAAAACTTCATCAACCTCAGACTTTATTAGCTATAATTAAGCTGTTGAATGAGTCTTAAAAAAAAATACTACTGTTAAGTGGACCAAGTTTGGTGAAGGAGAATGTGAGAGAATGATTAAAGAAGGAACAGCTCAAGAACATTGGGAATGATAACTTTCCACTTGAGAACTTTTCTTATGTTTTACTGTAATTTGTTTGTGTCTTTGGGTTTTATTTTTTGTTTTGTTTTGGTTTTTTGTTTGTTTGTTTGTTGTTTTGTTTTGCAAAAGAAAATAGTATTTACAGGTGGCTTCTTTTAAAATATAAAATTATAAAGCAGGAAT